TATATATATAATATATATCATATATATATATAATATATATCATATATATATAATATATATCATATATATATATAATATATATCATATATATATATAATATATATCATATATATATATAATATATATCATATATATATATAAAAATACACACAATATAAATATGCATACATCTTACCTCATCCTCAGCAACATGAATTGGAGGTGTTAGTCTTATGATTTCTGGCGTAAAATATTGCTGAGCTAATGTAGGTGTGGGTCCACAAAGTAAAGCTTCGCATGTTCTTTTCACCTGCTCTGCATCACTGAGGTGTCTGCAAAATGACATTTCTCATTAATATTCAGTGGATTTTTTGAGATTCTAATTACGTTGGGTTCCATGCTTCCTCTGAGTAAAAGCTCTTTTTTCTGCATTATACACTACATAAAAAGTTTATTGGTGACCTTATTCACCTCAACAACAATTAAAACTATTTATCAAACTCTGGTGCTTCATGTAACACTTAAGAATATTTATGAATATTTATTCATTTCATAATTACACACTAGTTGACATTTAGCTCTTTCATATTTCAGATTAATCTAAAAATGTCCATTCTTGTCCCTCCCTCTATTTTCCAATTCCTCTTCCTTTCCTACCCCTCCCCCTCCCTTCCTCCCTCCACCCTCTTCTCATAAATAAGGGAGAAAAAGTTAAAGTTTTACAGATTTTGTGATAATATATGGCATATATTTTACAATAGATTTAGTCCAGTCTTTATACCTACTCTCCCCCTTCCTTACAAAAAAAAAAAAAAAAAGTGGGTGAGGAATACTAGCTACATACACTTTGACATTACAATATGAGGCACTAAACTTCAGCAGAATTCTATATTTCTTGAAAAAAAAAAAAAAAAAAAAAAACATTACATCAATAAATGACAAAGAAATACGTTAAAAATCTCAGGAAAGTACCTACACACATACATTTCTGACAACAACAACTCAGCACAAACGTTCCCCTTACCCTGGACTCTGTGAGAGCTGTGGGTGTGAGTAGACAACCGGAATTGCACTTTTGGCTATGTCTGACCGTTCCGCTAAGAGTTCAGCCAAGCTTAGTCTGAGGGATGTTGTGTCGGTGGGCTGGTGGTTTGTCACGTCCAAACTCATAACTTGTGACGCAGTTCTTTTTAACAACTGTAAAAAGTCATACAATGAATTTTAATTACAAGTTTTATCTCTTCTGACAATTGTAAATATCTTATTTTGTTTTTTTTAGATGCATATCATTTAACTTAGAATACAAAAAAAAGCTACCATCCTTGAATATTATTAAACTTATATACAAAATTATAACAAAAAAATCATAACTTTTTATTCATTCTCATTAGTATTACATATCACTACATGACAATTATAAAAACTAGAAAAATCTACCAAACAAACACAACCTCAATAATAAACTGTATCATCAATAAATCACAATCGGTTTCTCATTCACACACATACCTCTTTGCTATTTTTATCTGTGATAAGGGACGAGAGGAAGGCAATCTCCGACTGTGAGAATTTGGGAAGCTGACCGGCATACTCCAATTTTTTCCCCGTCCCTTTTGACAAATTATCTGGGGGATGCTGAAGAGAAAACAAAAGAGATGCATTAGTTTCAATAGATGCAAGTAACAAAAGAGCAATATATTAAATTATAGAGCCACAGATAATATAAAACTTGAGAACTTTACACATCGATAAATTTACAAACACAAGAAGCCTTGTACTCACTAGAATATTTACAAAAACTGGTAAAAATGGGTTATTCGGAGGTGGTTCTCCTCGATATAATTCATGTAAAATTGTCACAGCACAGAGGCGTTGTGCAGGACTTGGGAGAAGATCTGGTTGTTGTAGCAGGAACACCAGTGCTGTTCCCACTGGAAAGTAAACAAAAGCAAATTCTCAGAGGAGACAAAATGCCTTCTTTACGTAAAGATATACTGATTATGAATATCATCTTCATCATCATCATCAATCATCAATCATCAATCATCAATCATCAATCATCTTCATCCTCATCGACATCGTCATCGACATCATTAAAATTATCCTATTATTACTTGATATCATCATTATCATCATTGCAATTATATTTACAATTAAAATTATATTTATAATTAAACTTACCATCATAATTATCAAATGCACTATCATTATCATTACTATTAAATTATTATCATTATATCATTATTAAATCAGTATCACTATTAACATTATTACTATTAGAATTAATTACTATTATCATCATATTACCATTATTATTACTACTGTCATTATTATTATTACTATTACTATCATTGTTATCATTACCATTCAATTATCATCATTGCAATTATATTTACAATTAAAATTATATTTATAATTAAACTTACCATCATAATTATCAAATGCACTACCATTATCATTACTATATAATTATTATCATTATTATTATTACTATTACTATCATTGTTATCATTACCATTCAATTATCATCATTATTACTATTCTTATTAGTACTGTTATTTTTATTACTGATATCATCATTATCATCATTGCAATTATATTTACAATTAAAATTACTATCATTATCATTACTATATAATTATTATCATTATATCATTATTAAATCAGTATCACTATTAACATTATTACTATTAGAATTATTTACTATTATCATCGTATTACCGTTATTATTACTACTGTCATTATTATTATTATCATTATTATTATAATATTACTACCATTATTATTATTACTATTACTATCATTGTTATCATTACCATTCAATTATCATCATTATTACTATAATCATTATTATCATCATTATTACTATTCTTATTAGTACTGTTATTTTTATTACTGATATCATCATTATCATCATTGCAATTATATTTACAATTAAAATTATATTTATAATTAAACTTACCATCATAATTATCAAATGCACTACCATTATCATTACTATTGATCAAATATTAGTGAAAAATACTTACACTTAAAATAATCTTGTTTAGTGAAATTCTGGTAAATCTGATGTATAATTTGTTCTAGAGTGGCGGACTCTGTTGTTTCTTCAGACAAGATTCTGCAAAATCAAATTAGCATTAATTGCCTGTAAAACAGTAATGGTGGTTGAATCACTATAAACATGTAAATAAAACATTTACAAAATAATTAAAAACATTCATAATACAAAAAATAATATATGAAATTAGATCATTTATATGTAACTAGATATATAAACCGTAAAAAGACAATACATTAGGTGTTAACCCAACAAAAGGAGAATGTGGTAGAAAAGAATTAGTAATAGAGTAAGCAATAAAAGTACAAGAACGACTACTTCACCCACACTGTGTTCCAATCACAAGAAAAAGCCAGGAAACAAAACTAAATGATAGCTCACAGTGAGGAGGGTTCGAAAGGGGAACGCGTAGGGATGACATTGTGGGTGTGGCCGGAGGAAATGTGCCAAACAGTACTTGACATTGATGAACACTCCACATTGATAATAAATGAGATGCAGGCAAAAAGCTTGCCAGTTTTGGACAGGTTTTCTTCAACTGCGGCAAACAGGGTTGACCTCACAGGACGGCACAACTAACAGTCAAATTTTAAGACACTTTGGATATAAAACTTTGTCACAAAGAAAAAATTGTACAAGTACAGAAAAAAGGTACAGAACCATGACATATGTGTCATGTGAGTCCACATGACCTTAATAAAAGATAATGATGTTCACATCCTGTGCACAAGAGGGTTAAAGACATTCATAACCACCTCTATATTGGAAATATCCTGTTAACATACAGAAGTATTACATTTGTTATTAACTTCTTAATACAAGCCATCTATATTTTGATCAAATTTGTCAAAATATCTTTGCAATGTTTATGGAGAGGCATCATCACCCAAATATCCAAAGAAATCTGCCCAACACCACAAAATGACTGGGAAAATATTAGTTTTTCCTGAATCTCTTTTAAACCTACCGCTGTTCAGCCCAAACTAAGTCACTTTGTTTCTTTTAAAACATATCAACCACACATTATTAAACTTATTTGGTAAGTTTTATGTGCAAATTTCCAATAATATCTCAACATATACGGTATCCAAGTAGAGTTGTTACTTATTAGTCGAAACCCTCTTTCCCTTCCTGTCTTCACCAATAGAGTTTAAAATAAGTATCTACTCCCTAAAACACCAACAATAAACTAATATTTACCCCAATAACGTCGTTAATTCATTGGCAGTGAGAGCCATCCTTTTTTTCCTCGGGTCCTTCCTCACTTTGTTTACATCAATAGGCCATCGGGTTACTCGGGTACAACATCTTTCAGAAGTCCGTGGTCTAAGGCCATTTCTTGATTTAATTACCGCAACACTTTTTAGTAACTGTACTATAAAATTAGATTTGATTGGAATAAATTGAATTAATGTTTATGGAAGGAGAATATGAACTTGGTATTACAATAAATACAACGCACATATATGTTTATATATATTTTTTTTATATAATTTCAAGACGAACCGAAAAAAACTCTAGATATATATTGAATTACCCTAGTTAATGTCCTTTCTTTTTATAAAAGCCAAAACTTTAATGAACAACTTAACTTGATATTTGATATCAAAATGCTAATAACAATACATATACTGACGAGCCTAAACCAATCATAAATTTTGAAATAAAGCATATTTATCAGAAAATTACATCATATGTTTTCCATTCAAGAAAGCAGTGCTTTAAGAGTAATTGATCTAAGTCGGAATAATTTTCCTCACGAAGCTTTTCCAACAAAAACACAAATCGACGAGCCTAAAATCATTCCAAATTACGAAATAAAACCTAATATCAAGTAAATCACCCACACTCATATTCCTTCCCTTCAAGAAAAAAATCAAGCATTTCAATATTCACGAGCATGGCCTCATATTCAACACCCCCCAGCCAGTTAGCTCCGTAAAAATACACCCAGCGAAGACGAGAGGCTCAGTAGTGACCTCTACTCGAAGGTGTTTCCACGCAGCGAGAAAATGTCGGGGGAGTTTGGTACGGGGAAAACTATATTCGTCCTAGCGATAGTGGTGGGATGTTTTGCCGTCTTATGGCCAAAGATCTTCTACCCTATGCTCACGGCTTCGGTTAAACACCCTACGTCGGCGAGGCAAG